TATATATATGACGTCTTTCAGTCAGTTGAAGTTCATTGATTCACGTTTACAGCTTTAGCGACTTTGTGATGCAACATGATATCATTGGCCATTAACAATTTCACTTCTCACATTCAATAAAGTATACAGAATTCCAAAGCATTCGTACATATCTGAAATGATAGTAAATGAACTATTTTTTCGGTAAAATATTTCATCCATGTTTCATGGGAGATATAAGATGCTCATCTTAATACTGCTATTCAAATGCTTACTGACTATCTTTAAAAGACCACAAATTTTAGAACGATTTATCGAAAGTGAAATGATTACTTTTCCTAAATCTTTCCTCAGTTTTTTAATCTATTTATTACTTCCAAATAGTATGTTTAATGTATAGAGGATTTCTTAATTATTTAATTTTATTAACCAAATTAACATTTTTTTTTAAAAAAATAAAGGAAGAAACATACAAAACCTAATTAAATTAGAAATGAAAAACAAGTGAAAAACATTCTTCGAAATTGAACAAATGTGTACATTTTTCTGTGTTCAATTAATTTAACATAAAACGTTTTTTATTTTAATTTTTATATCGAATGTAATTTTCTCCACTTTGTTAAACTAAGCAAACATGATGTATTTCCGAAAGTTACAATCCATGATGTCTGCCTGTAGTTGTATTTATAGGTGCTTATTAGAGAGTTTCAAAATTGGACACACATATTCTATCACTACTCATGAACTATTTGAATTACAATGTAATAGTGATGTAGCATCAATAAGTAGTATGTTTTGATTTGAAAAAAATTCTATAGTTTAGGTTGCTTTAGTAATTCTTTAATAATTTTTGTGTACAAATCAAAACACATTTTTTAAGTAATGTGTCAGTTTTATGACGACAGTGGTTTTAAATCCAAAACATTGTATGACTCGACTAAGAATTGTATATTCTCTTTGAATATAATCGTCAACAAGAATGAAGTACATCACATAATGACTAATTAACACTAAATGAAATGATAAAATAAGAGACTGAGTCAATACAGACGCATCGCATGCTGTGCTCACACACTAGTTGAAGGTCGAATAGTGAGAGTTACTAATAGATGTAAACTGTTCGGTCGTGATATAGTTTACTTATCCGAGAAACATCTTTATGATAATGTGTTTGTGTACAACTGGATTCGGTTTGCTAATACCGATTTCTATTCATTCTTAATTTCCTTACTCACATAGCAAGTTTTGCACTTCAGTATCAGAACCAAAGGATAAGAGGACACAAGTACACTTTATTTCAGTCTTCATTTTCAAAACATTCTTGACAAATGCATATTGAAGATAATGTTAGGTGAATTTTTGTACAACTAGCAAACTTGGTTGATTTATCTTAGTTGAGGTTCTAGTGAAAGCTAGAGATCAGAATTCAAACTGATGTCGAACATAACAATACGATTAAACTTGGAAATATTAAGTTACAGAAGAAACTTATTTAATGACCTAAGAATGTTAACTTGCATACACCACATCTAATAAGCAAACTTAGTTAGTCTCAATTGGATTAGCTCGTAACGGAGTAAATTTACATTTAAAATGTGATAGAATAGCCTGGATATCTAGACTGATTTAGCTAGCCTATTGTTAACCTTTTCAGTTAAACATCTAAATGAATTCCTATTGAAACTTTGTGTATAATAGCAATGTTTTTATGATTGTCAAAAAAGATGTACACTTTTGTAATCCATGGATCTGTTTCAATCTTCTGGCTTACTACAGTCAATAATATGTTAGACTGTCTTGTCCATTTTTGATTATAGTTTCATAGACAGGGAAGTATATAACTATGAGTTGTGTATTTACGGTATTTTGTGAAACAATCAAAGTGAATATTAATGATTTTATCATACAATATTCCATTACGTTTAGTAATTTGATAATTATTCTAACTAACATGAGAACTAGGTGAATTATTCATCGACATTTGCAAATAGTCAACAATAATCAGAATGATACTGGTTTTCCTCTAAATGAAATAGATTTATTTGGTATATATATAACTAACAGTAGAATTTCTATCAATCAACAAAAGTATTGAGATTTTTGATAATTTTATGCTTTATCTGGGCGTCATACATAGATTCTATCTTGAAGCTTAGCAAAAAAACGGGTGATAGATGTTAGTTAGTGAATTAGTCTGAATAATAAAATAGTCTTATTGGTAATGAGATATTTTACAAGTTATTATTCAGTATCGATCGGATACGTGAATGTTTGATATCTATGTCAATATTTGCGCAACAAACAAATTCTGTTTGTCCAGAGTCTGCGTTCTGTGTCAGAGCTTTTTCTGTACCTACATTTCTCAGTCAGTATTATAATTATCTATTGATTAAATTATAAAGTTAAACATTTATACAAATAACGCTCCAAATTAACAACAACAAATATTACTTAAGTGCAATGAAAAATTTTTTAAATTATTGTGTGGTAACGAGTGTACTTGTTCTTTTTTAAAATACGTAAACTTGTTCAGTAAGAAGCCACCACTTTCATTATGTTTGTAATCGACCGAATAACATAAAAATTGAAAATGTCAACTGTGAACATGCAGTATTTTTATAGTTTGTAGTCCACACGAAAAATGGTTCAACCAAGCAATATATATTTTTAAAAACTCAACATGAAGCGGTCATTATTTAAGTTATTGTGGTTATTGCCCAGTCTAATAGAAACAGGGCCTGATAGAAGACTTGTATGGTAGGACTAATTATATTCGCACAGACGATGATAATCATGATGAAGGGGGCTGTTGAACAAAACATTGATGAAGAATGGCTATCCTTCAAAATTCAAAAATCGATGGAAAAGCCACGGTGTAGCGAGACCTGCCCCACTTTTGACAATTATTAGTAAAATGAAAACTATGCTTCAGTGTCACATATATTGTGGTCAGATATTTCTAGGAAGGAGTAATAATGATTCGAAAATTAAAATGTCCGAATATATACAAAAATAGTTGTAAAAACAAAAAGTTAGACACTAACACCCACTGGATGCTGGCTCAGTGGTCTAGAGGTTGAGCGTTCTCTCACAGCACCGAAAGTCGTGGCAGAAGAGTCTCATGATAGAAAGAAACAGCCGTCTAGTGATTCTAGATTTTTAATTGTGATCTAACATTGATCGGTTTATGGTTTCAATGTAAAATTAAGTTCGATGAAAAGGACTTGTTATCTCCTACCGCTAAACACAACTGAAACGATTTATAAAATTGATCTTAACTAGGCTGTTTTGGTTTTGTACGAAAGTTTCCTAGAGCGTATGCTAAGGTTTATTGAAACCTTGAACATACGAAAATATCAAACCTCATTATGAATTTTAAAACAATTTGTTGTCACCTTAAAACCTACCATTGTAATATTGTTTTATTATCTGTTATGCTCGTCTGTAGGTATGCTTACACTATTACAGGTTGACCTTAGTCAAATAACGAGAACAAAACAATAAACCAGCATCCAGGTAGGCTACTATGATCCCTTGAACAAAAGGTATCAGCGAGAAGTCTTGATATAGTGTAGAAAATGTATTCTACAAACACCCAACCAGCACACAATCAATCCAAGCACTCAAATTACGTTTATTTATACTCTATAGGGACGTCGTTGGGACAGTTACAAAAATAGCACACTAAAATGAAACAGTAACCAATTACAGCCAGGGATTTTCCTGATGGGAAATGTGATCTCAAGGTCAACTGAACGCAATATTTTATGTATGACAGTAATAAATTAATGATTCCTTAACTATTGGTTTTGAATTCTTTAAAATTTCACATGAATTAGATCAGCGATTATGCTTCAATCTTTATCGATGTGCTACCTTCAGTAGTCAGACATTCAGTGAAGAACTAACTACTTCATACATCTTTTATATTACGATGATAAGCATTTTCACAGATTTCTACATAGGGTATTATAGAGATTAAAATATCAGAAAATAAACGAAATAATTTGTTACTGAAATTATTATTTATTCAATTAAAAAATAAATTTGCAATAATTTATATTACACATTTTTGAAACCATGAATCGATCAATGTTAGACCACTATTAGAAACCTGGAATCACTGGACGGCCGTTTCGTCCTGGTATGGGACTCATCGGCAGTGCGCATCCACGACTCCTGCACCCCGCAGGATTCGGACCCAGGACCTTCAGTATTGTGCGTGAACACCTAACCATCGGACAACTGAGCCAATATCTAACAGTGTAAATGTCTAACTTGGTCCATTCAAAGAGTTGCGCAACCTCGGACAGTCTTCGGTAGTTACTGTCTACACCCGAACAGGTTGAACTTCACTGGTCACGTCTTCCCACTAGAACTTGGAGAAGATTCCTCACGAAGCTAGTCACTACTGAGCACAGGTAATTTGCATTACAAATCCTGCCGGGTGCAGGAGTCGTTGATGCGCACTGCTGAGTCAGTCCCATACCAGGACGAAACGGCCGCCCAGTGCTTCCAGGTTTCTAATGGTCGTCTTATATTGATCGATTCATAATTTCAAAAATGTGTAACTTACCAATCTTTACAACCCCGTAATGACAATTTATATTCACATCATTTCTTTTTTTCGTACTGAATCAAAATTTATTCATTTTTTCAAATAGGCAAGAAGTAATTTTTTCGTAGATAGATAAGATCTACACCAAAACTAATTTCTCTCTATCTCTTCATAATTACAAATCATTTGAAAACAAAAATTCTTGTCAAATGTTTCAACGCATTAAAGCAGAATTAGTTGAAATTAGAAAATTTAATAAAACTCAGCATAAATTTATACAATTTCATCAATCTGTTTTTTTTCAAATAAACCCTAATATTATTGTCGGAAATAACAATTCAAATATTAATTCAACAATGAATAAACAGATTCATAGATTTGTACATTCCTAAATGATTATTTATTCGACTTGATGATATGTTGATATTAATTGTTTTAATTTAAAAAATCAAAAAAAAGTTATTCACCGTTATTGTCAATTTTCAATATTTTAGTCAGTTTCATTTTCATTGAATTCAACAACGTTTTGTCTGGATAGTTTAAAATTAAACTTGTGGATTTATTAGAATACGGTTTAGATTTATTTGTCGATTCTATGTTCATTTTTACAGAGGGGATTTGTTTAAATTAATAAAAGATTTACTTCCGTGTATTGGACAATCAGTGGTACTTTGATTTGGCACTGAATTAATTTCATTTACCTTGGTTGATCCATGTATTGGACAAGAATTCTGATCAACTAACTTATCATGTAAAGTGTTTGTAGTTTCACTGTCTAATTGATGTTTGTTCGAATGTTGATCAAATGAAGATGATTCAGGAGAATAAGAAATTTGTTTCGGTGATAATGAACTATCCGATATTATTGAACAATCTTGATGATGCATGGAACATTTAGAATGTTTATCTTGTGTATTATTTAAAGAATAAACTAATTCCAATGAATGATTTCTAGATCTTACACCTAATGTATAATAAATTTTAGGTTTTAATTGTTTTATTACCATGTTATTATTACATTCATTAAGATTTGCATTGAAATCAATGAGACTTTCACAATTTTGTGATGCATTCAATGTCAAATAACCCATATCACTACTTTGTGGTGAAGGTGTATCTTGTTTCATGGAATGATTAATTAATTTTGTTTGTAAAATGGTTTTATTATTTTTTAATAAATCAACCCTATCATAATATTGATTTTGATGAGTTGATTGATCGTTTGCCTGTTGAATCATATCAAACTCTTTTATAGTATTGTGCAAATTTCCTTTGTATAATTTAGAAGATATTGGTATGAAATCAGTGCATGTTTGATTAGTTTTATTCTGATCAATAGAATGGCATTTAATCGGTGTGATCAGCTGATTATTACTACTATTATTATTGTTAGTAGTAATAGTAGGAGTAGTGGTAGTAGTATTTGGAGTACAATTTGATATAATTAACTTTGTATCAATTACATTCTGTGATTTAATATTATTTGTTAATCCTTTATTCGATAATTTTCTCCTATTATTTTGATGTGATACACGTTTGGAGTATATACATTTCATGATAAACAAACCAATGATGATAAATGTACCATTGAATAAAACAATAAAAATAGTAATTACAATCGGATTAAGCCAAGAATTATAATCAAATTGAACATTTAAATTTTTATTATTGACTTGTAATGGATTATGCTTGACAACTGAATTTTCAACATGAACATTGAATATCGCTGAAGCTTGACCAATTTGATTACTTGCTTGACATTGATAATAACCTTCATTGGTAGTTTTATTCAATTGTTTAAAATATAATGTCGTTGTAAAATTTATGCCAGGACTAACAGTTTGTATCACATGTGACCAATGTGGTTGTATTAAAACACCATTATAAAACCACTGAATTTGCATTTTTGGTTTACTGATAAATGAACAAACTAAAGTTAAATTCTCACCTTGTGTACCATACACATGAATAGGTGTGATTGTAGGATTTGTATGATTCATGTTTACATTATAATGAGATGATGGTATAGTATGCATTAATTCCGGTTGACATTGTAATGAAGTTAAATTCAAATGCATTAATGCCATATTTTTATATTGTATTGGTGAACTACACTCACCACCTGGTTTTGAATTAATATATACAGCTTTTTTTGGCAATCGATTTAACCATTGACGAAACCATACAATTTGACAATCACATGTCCATTTAACACCTTCTAAATTTAAATATGAAAAATATTCCGGTCTTAGACCGTGAAGTGTATCTTCCATAAAATGTACAAACATATTATACGCTAAATTTAAATGATGCAATCTACTTAAACCATAGAATGTATTCGGTTCTGTATAGATTTTATTCGATAAAAAACTCATTTCCAATCGATGCAAACTCATACTCATACCATGCAGAAATCTAGCCGGTAAATAATTCAATGCATTACCACTTAAATCTAAATAATTTACATGAACAAGTTGAGAAAATGCTGTCACAGGGAAAGGATGATGAAAATTGGATGTTAATTGATTAAAACGTAAATCTAACCAAATTAATGTATTAGCAATTGGTAAAAATGCACGTTCTGTGATTTTGTAAATTCTATTATGACCTAAAATTAATTTACGTATATTCACTAATCGTGTAAAACTATCTTCATGTAATATTTCAATAAGATTATAAGATAAATTTAATTCAATTGTATTTTCATGTATTAATCCAGGTAATGTAGTTAGCCCTTGATGTGAACAATGAAATAGTTCTAAATTAGTTTGTATATTACATGAATTACAAAAACTGTGTTCAATATTCAATATGATCAATGTTGAAAATAGATAAACGGGAAAAATAATTTGATATGAATACATTGAAAGTACATTGTTCATGATGCATACTGTCGTGAAGCAATAAAATAATTGAAATACATCCGTTGTTCTTTGTCGATTTCATGAATTTTCAATTACAATCAAAAAGATAACATTTAAAAAACCGCGCTCAATACATGTTCACTTTTGAAATACTTTTATTTCCTGAAAATTTATTCAATTTTCCCTCTTTCTTTCATTTATTTTCATGTTTATCTTCATCATGAACAATAAAATATTATAATTTCTACAATTCATTTTGAAATATCAAAATTAACAAGGGAATTGTCATTTATTGATGTGACCATCTATCCTCAACGTCTTTCTTCAATGTTATCGTAACACAAACAAGAAAAAAAACACGTTGTCTGTCTCTATAAAATATAGATTCTTTAGAATCTACCAATCAGAATTAATTCAAAGTTTTATATACACAATATAATTTAAGAGAGATAAAACAATGAAACTGACATAAATATTGAGACATACCTAGAAGTGAAATGAGGCAATATGTCAATTACTAGTTTGTTGTGTTTAATGACACTAATATTTTCTATTTGACATAAACAAATTTAGTGTTAAAACCTATGGTATAAAGTTCATTTTATTTAAAATTAATCTATTTTATATGATAAGAATCAATAGTTCTGCTGAAACCAATAGATAGTATATTAATTTTATTTTAAGTAAAGCGATTCTTATCTCTTGAAAATTACTAGTAGACACTTTAAAAATATCTCATAACGTTTGGGAGTTGTTGAGTTATTGTACAACTTTCCACTAACAGTATTCTAATTAAGAGATGTTTAGTTTACCTGTTCACTGAGGTATTTTAATTTCTTAATAACATACATCACTGAATATCAGATTTACTTCTAGTTAATCAATAATGACTGTTTCAGAGAATAAATCAATGAACGTTTAGGTATTGATTAGGAGTTACCATTGAAGCATTGGGAGGTAGGTTCGTAGAGGCTCTTAAATAACGTCAGGTCATCGATAAAAACAGACTAAATAGTACGTGATAGTTGTCGACGACGAGCTCTTATTACTGATCAAGATTTAACTTCCTTTTTTGAAAAAATAGACATGTTATTGAATGAAAATGTGACTTAATTTTCTAACGGGCACGTAACCATGTTTTGCAGACATTCTTGACTTAGTCAGCAAAAGCTTTCTGCTGATTTTTATATGTTTTTATTCAAATAGCTGGTTGCACTCATAAACAAGAAGTGTATACGTCGGTGGTAATATCGGACTACAGCGTACTATAATAATTTTCGACTTTAAGCATAAAATAAGTTCAACCAGTATTTATTATGAGAGCTGATAAAATCTATACTACTGTAGCATCAAAAGGGATTTTAAACATTACGACTAAATCTCATTAAAATAAGGAAGCGAACATTTTAAATCTAAGTCAGTTCAGCTAGGGGAACCTAGTTAATGAGATCAGGTACTTACTTACTTACTTACTTACGCCTGTTACTCCCTATGGAGCATAGGCCGCCCACCGTTTTTCCCTAACCAACTCTGTAATGAGATCAGGTACTGAAGCCTAAACTAATCCAACGAATGTGTTTCTTTTCAATCCTAAATGCAATGTTACATTCGACTCATGGTTCATGTTATATGATTTTGTGCAACACGTTGACTCTGCAACAGTTTAAATTCTTCTATACAGACTTGAAGCAGTTGAAGGTAAGCATTAACCAAATATTATTTTATGAAACATACTAGATGATACTTCCTTTGATATTACTGTACAAAAATTCAAGGGAATGTTTATTACCTCAACTTCTTAGTTTACATTTTAATAGATTCGTCTAAAAACCAGACAGAATTCAAAAGAGGATTTCGTTATAAATGTGAAGTTACATTCAATGCCAGATGATAAGTTTGAATGTCTTACTTTTTATATGCAAACTAAAAAATATCATCTGACCCAGATATTGATGCCCGAACTTAAATCCAATTGGACTGGTTTTCAATTATTTAACACACTAATGAATGCTGTTGTAGTAGTTTATTGTCAAAAATGACATCATAATGATTTAATTCTTCAATCTTAATATCTTGAATTGTATTCCATTCAGTGCAAAGTAGATAGATGTCTAGTGTCACAAACCATATTCATTCGATTCTCTAAATAGTATGTCTAATATTTAGAGACACGAAGCACACAGAAAGTGACATCATTCTCTTATAGTTAGTGCGTATTCTCTTTTGATACTTACTCACTTGCTTACTTACACCTGTTACCCCCGATGAAACTGCATTTGGAGTATCTATGAGTGTATATTTATCCCAACAATAAGGAAAATACCTGTCCAATATTTTAGGTTAATTCTGAAAATTAAGAGTTTTTTTTTCATGTACAAACAAACTTTACGTAAATAAGTTACCGACTATACCACAGATAATTTGAATTGTAATAATTTTTCGTTGATGTTCTGTTGAGGATGTTAGACCCCCCAGAACTCGCTTGATAAATATCTTTATTTTGGATTAATTTCATGAGCCGATCAGTTGACCTTGAGATCACATTTCCCATCAGGAAAATCCCAGGTTGTGATTGGAGACTGTGTTATTTTAGTGTGCCATTTTTGTGACTATTCCAAGGACGTCTCTATAGAGTATAAATAAACGTAATTTGAGTGCTTGGATTGATTGTGTGCTGGTTGGGTGTTTGTAGAATACATTTTTTACACTATATCAAGACTTCTCGCTGATACCTTTTGGTCAAGGGATCATAGTAGCCTACCTGGATGCTGGTTTATTGTTTTGTTCTCGTTATTCGACTAAGGTGAACTCTTGATAGTTTAAGCATACCTTGAGACGAGCATGACAATTTGGTGACGGCATTTTGACAAACAATCTGATGAATTATGATGGATGCAGCTAAATTACAAAAATTGTTTGCACAACAGCTGAAATTGATGAAGATACTTACTCACACGCACACTTCTTCTCAAGTCTCATCTACACCGACTATTCCTCAGTCAGTTGATGGTATGACCAGTAGTATTTCAGAGTTTCTTTATTATTCTGACGCCAATATTACATTTGATATTTGGTTCAGGCATTATGAAGACCTCTTCAAAGTTGATTTCGCTGAAAAAGATGATTCCGGGAAGGTGCGTCGTTTCCTTAGAAAACTTGGTCCGTCAGAACTGGAACAGTATTGCAACTACATCCTACCTCAGAACCCACGCGACTGATCATTCGATGTTACTGTTCAGTCCCTCAGCAAACTTTTTGGTGATCAGCATTCTCTTTTCAATACACGTTATTTCTGCTTAAGACTGGTCATGAATGAGTTCGATAACTTCATAACCCGTGCTGGCATTGTCAACCGTGTGTGCGAACGGTTCAAACTCAAATCTGTCACCGATGACCAATTCAAGTCCCTCATATTCATATGCTATCTTCAATCACCTAAATTTTCCGACATCAGAACTCGGTTGCCTAACCGGCTTGAACAAGACCCAACACTAACACTCGATGAGATCACTGATGAGTACCAACGCATCACCAACAGGCAGCATGACAACACTTTGGTGCAATCTGGAGGCCAGGGTGGTTCTGAAGTTCATGTTGTTCACCAACAGTTACCTAACCATAATAAAGGTGTCTATGCTACACCCAGTTCATCCCACTTTAGCTCAGCCCGGAAGACAAAAACAAATCCCCCTACTCCTTGCCGGCACTGTGGTGCATGTCTCTATGTACGAAACTGTCCATTTATGGAACATCGATGCAGGAAGTGTAAGGTCATCGGTCATAAAGATGGTTTTTGCCTAAAGAAAAAGCCGAACCGATCCAGAAGTGCTAGGACGTCTGTTCCTAGATCCGGTACCAATTCATCATCATCATCATCATCATCATCACCAGGTAAGAAGAAACTCATTCCCCTAATGTTAACGGGCATTTGTGTAGATTGCAAATAGATACCGCATCTGATGTCACCATCCTCTCACGCAAAAGTTGGACCGAATTAGGCAGCCCAAGCCTGCAGCACACAACACAAAAGCCTCGTACAGCATGTGGTAATTACCTTCGTCTGTTAGGACTATTGGAATCTAGAGTTACCTTCCGAGACTGATCATTTACTGGTGTATGTTATGTAACGCCAGCTGATCTAAATTTACTTGGTTTAGATTGGTTCGACCAGCTAAAATTGGCTGATGTCCCATCAGATACCATATGCCACCACGTATCACGACCACATGACCCCGAAGCATATAGGAGGAATCTAATGACGCAGTTTTCAACCATTTTCCAACCATTTTCCAACATGGATTAGGTCGGTGTACTGCCATGAAAGCAACACTTCGGTTGAAACCTGGGGCTAGGCCTGCTTTCCGTCCAAAGAGACCCATACCTTATGCAACATAAGCAACAGCAGATGAAGAATTGAATCACCTTCAACAACAAGGAGTTGTTACTCCCGTTTCTTACTCTACTTGAGCAGCACCTATAGTTGTTATTAAGAAGGCCAACGGTACGATACGTATATGTGCTGACTTCTCTACAGGTCTAAATGCAGCTCTAGAACAGAATCATCGTGGTGCTTTTGGGGTATGATTTCGAAACCCAATATCGGCGCACTCCACAATTCGGTCAAGCTGACGTTTGTCACGATTCATTAATGATCAAGTGGCGGCTGAGGAAAACATGGTGATCGCATCTCCGTCAGGAGATGACCATGCGAAATGTTGTTTGACAACCACAATACGGGCGTTGCCGGTGTCTGCAGCAGACATACAAAATGCTTCTAGAAACGACCACATCATCAAGATGACAATAAAATATGTCAATAACGGTTGGCCGTCGAAGATGTTTGAAGGGGACATGAAGCAACTATATCAGCTGCGAGATTCACTATGCATCGTGAACAATTGTCTGATGTTTGCTGAAAGAGTAGTGGTGCCAGAATCCATTCGTGCAAAAGTGCTGAGACAGTTCCATCTTGGTCATCCTGGGGTTAAACGAATGAAGTC